AAGGAAGGAAGGAAGGAAGGAAGGAAGGAAGGAAGGAAGGAAGGAAGGAGAGAGGGAGAGAGGGAGAGAGGGAGGGAGGGATTTCTACTGTATATCAGTACTGGTGGAAAAGATGCCCTTCACACCAATGTTTAAAAGATATTGTGTGTAGATTGCTTAGCTACCCAAATACCATTTACATAGACTAATTCATAAGACATTTCAATAAAATGACTCCCTCCCTCCCTCCCTCCCTTCCTTCCTTCCTTCCTTCCTTCCTTCCTTCCTTCCTTCCTTCCTTCCTTCCTGTTGGTCTCTGTCTCTTATATGTAAATAAATATATTCTTCCATCCCTGAATAAACTCCTCTGTTTGATTTTCTTTTTTTTTTCCTTCTCCTTTCTAAAGTCTTGTTTGCCTATTTGCATGTCAAACATGAGTGTTTTGACATACAGCAGGCATATTTTGTACAACTGTTTTTCCAATATTATATTATAGGTAAGACCTGGTGAGTCTCCAATGCACATGAGCTTGTCTTCAAGTAGTTCCAAAGTTGGTCCAAAGTGATTCTGAAAACCCCAGGGGATTTGGTGGCAATTCCTGACGTGACCCTGTTTTTTTTCTTCCAGGTAATCCAGCAGCCAACTGGTTGCACGCTCGCTCCTCCAGGAAGAAACGATGTCCCTATACAAAGTACCAAACCCTGGAACTGGAGAAGGAATTTCTGTTCAACATGTACCTCACCAGGGACCGTAGACATGAAGTGGCCAGGCTTCTCAACTTGAGTGAAAGACAAGTCAAAATCTGGTTTCAGAATCGCAGGATGAAAATGAAGAAAATGAATAAGGAACAGGGCAAAGAGTGAAGCTTTCTTCTCCTTCCCCCTTTCTCTGTTCTGCCCCAATTTTCACCCCTCTCAAAACTTAGATAGTTTTTGATGGGCAATGACTTCCTTCTCAGCTGTGCTTGAGATGAGGACAAAAGCAAGCCAAGCCAGAAAGAGGACTCCTGGTTGGCATGCAAGGGATTCAGAATGACTGCACCTGCTTGTTTCCATTTGACGTCCTTCCCACTTCTTAAATATATTTACTGATCACTCCAGCAGAGGACATTAAGGGGGGAAGTTATGTATTGAAAGGTAATTGTTGACAGGCAATAGTCTTTAAGGATAGCTACTTCCTTTTGTTTGTTAGGCCTTCCCTAACCTGAAGCCTTCTAAATAATGTGGACTTCAAGTCCCCCCATCCCCAGAATTTATGGGAATGAGGAGAGTTGCGATGCAAGACATTTGAAGGGCAGTCATTGGAGGAGGATTGCTTTGAATGATATTGATTAAGCCAAGAAAAAGAAAGGAAAAGAAATCTGACTATAAACCTGTCCTCAACTAAGGGCACATTTTCCTTAGAGGTTGGAATTGGAATGATCCAGGAGCAACAACTGTAGATATACCCAAGTGAACGATACCCCAATTCAACCTCCATAGAACATTCCTTTTCTTAAGGCAGACAAGATCATTTCTAACCCCCTCTGTACTCGGAGAATCAGGAGGAAAACTCCAGGAGAACCATTTATAAACCTTTTTGAGGGCTTTGCATTCAGAAGGCATCTCTCTTTCCTCCTTTCCCTTAGTCTATATTTACCTGTTTGATGAGCAGCTTTTAGAAAGGAAGATACTTTAGTCAGAACATTTCCCCAAACAAAGCCCACAGCAAACCTTCTTCACAAGGCATCCAGGGAGGGCCACACTCACTGGCGTGCTCATCCCTTGCCTTGGCTTGGCACAGGGGAACTTTCCAGGGGGGAAGGTTCTGTGCTTACAGTTGTCCACCAAGGCACTTCTAACTTTTAAGGAGAAAAGGAGGGTCAGAAAGCAGAAACCTTTTGAACTGCATATGAAGCAGGATACCTAGATTTGTAAAAGTGAGGGAATCTTTTCTTTGGGTACTTATAATTTATTGAGGACAAGAGTATTCAGAAAAGCACTCGAGTACCAAGTGTCATAAAGGGTCTCCAATCGTCCCTTACTTATCCAGGTTTCCACTGAGAAGTTTTAATACTTGAATGTTGTAGGATCCCATCCCTTCCCTTGTCTTGGAGAATATAGCCACATTTCACATTTATATGAACACGAACACAGAGTGACCCAAAAGGGTAGTTGATTGCTTTTGAGATGGAAACTGCTTTCTGTAGTTCTTTAATACAACATTTTACATCCCCTTTGTTTACAAACAGAAAAGCATTCCCATTCCATATTAGATAAAAAGGGGTTCCTTGTCTCTGAAAGGCCCACCCACCACTTTAAAATCATCAGACTTGGGATTCTGTTTCCTTTATGACTATTGAAATGAGTCCAACCCCACTCTTTGGAGGGTTTGGACGGGGGCGGGGGGGTGGATAGGTAAGTTACTTTAGTGCAAGATGCTTATATGGTATGTGTGGGGCTTTTCTGTTGTTTCTATAGGGAAAACTGTGTTCGTGAACGTGCTCTTGTGAAAGTTCCGCTTGTTTTCTGTGGCTTATAGGAATATAAAATGGGATTTCGACCTGGTAGTTGCAGAACCAGACAGGGCTCCACATTTGTAAACTGATTTCCACTGCTGTTACACACTCCCACTTTTTAGAAATAACACCATTCTGTGGTGAAAAGTTTTCATAACAACAGGGGGGGGGGGGGGGGGAAGAAAACACTTGCCTACATTTAAGGCTCTTTGTAGACAGAAGTCCCAGAAGAGAAATCTAATTTCATAGACCGATGTACAGAATTTTTCTACCGTTTTTGCCTGCCATCATTCTTTCGAAATTTGATAGGCAGATTTTAACTTTACCTTTCAAAATAGCATTGCCTGGTTTGAAGGATTTTCTGAAATGGCAAGCAAATAAATCTTTTACTCCAGTATGTTTTTAACAGAATATTTTAGCGGGTTTTTGAAAAATTGCTTCCTTCAAAAAAAAAAAAAAAAATTGGAATGCCCACATCCTAGGCAAGTTGTCTTGGAGCAGGGAAGAAGGATTGCTGGGTGAATCCTCTACAAAGCAAACAAGCAAATTGCTTCTGGGGGATAAAAATATAGGGTGTCCCCATGGCTTAAATTCTGCAAACTTCATATTGTTTTGAAAACCAACTTTATATTGGATTTTTAAAGGAAAAGTCCAAGCTTCTGCATTTGTCTGTTTAACTTCTCCTAATAAAAAGAAAGTCGGAGGTACTGTTTGGTTTTAGATAGTATTACCAGTGTTAGGGAGTCTATAGCACCAGCTGAAATGGAGGATTCGGTTGTTTGTTCCCATTTATTTGCCTCCAATGATTCTCAAAGCCAACCAGATATCCTGAGCATTGCAGGAAAACTGCTCTGAAATTCTTTCAAGGTGAACATGGACATTTTGTAAAGAAAAACACTCTCCACATATGTATTAGCATATTAACTAATTTTAGTCATAGACGCGTTCCTAGACCTTATTAGTGAAGACAAGATATGTTTTTGAAAGCTGCATTTTTGCTAACGCATGGATTAATAAGAGAAACTAGTTGATTTCATTAGAGAAAAGTCTCTCTGTAGAGGAAAAATGTTGAAAAAAATATTGTTTCTTCAGTTCCATAAGGTCGAAATGTATTTTCCACAGTTGTTTAATGCCTCAGAATAAAAATCGATTTAAAGGGGACCCTGACCTATATCTCATTGTGTTATACTGCTTCTTCTAAACCTTCAGAAATATTTGCAGTCATGTTTTGTTTTTCTTTAGCGGCTCTTTAGCGTGTATTATAAAGATCTTTTAGGTTTGGTTTGGTTTGTTGGAGATACTCTCCTTTGTCGCTTAGCAAAAGCTCATTCTCGGTGTATTTTTCTTCCTTTCCGTGTGAAGTCGGCTCCATCTTTAAATCTCTTCGGCAAAACAGAAATAAAGCGGTTCTCTCTCTTTCGATTTGTAGCTAAAAGAGTCTTTCTTGTTACTTTTAGAATAGGAAAAAACCCCGACACATGAATGAATGAGGGAATATATGTGAGTGAGTGAATATGATGTTTATAAGGTACAGCAGAGAGGTGTAGACACGTGGAAGTTCTTTCCACAGCCCTGGAGGGTGATGATCCAGAATTCTCCAACTTCGGAGGAAGGAAGGAAGGAAGGAAGGAAGGAAGGAAGGAAGGAAGGAAGGAAGGAAGGAAGGAAGGAAGGAAGGAAGGAGGAAGGTCTACTAAGAATTTTCCAATGCCCAATTGGGCTCTTGTGATTTTACCCAAAAAGTAACTCAGATTAACAGAATAACATTTCTGGATTTTGCCAAAGTCACCTGGGTTCCTTCATATCCTATCCAAGGAAAATAATGCATGGTGGTTTCCATTCTTACTTACGTCCAAAATCCACACAATTGTATAATTATCTTTGAAAGGTAATCAAGTCTTTTAAAAAACCCACACAAATTATCTTCATTACCACAGACCCTGCATACATGTATGTATATGTATGTGTGTGTACACACACTGACACAAATATATATTCTAAAAGGAGAACGAAATGATTGCTGGATGCTGGATTTTACTGGAGTAGAAGTAGGAGAGTAGCTTGTCATAAAAGAGAGAAGAAAACTCTGCGCAGTAGGCTGCAATAAAAGAATATGACCGCCATAAAACTTTATAGGGTATAAATTTCTGAAGGTTAAGGAACTAAGCAACTGTAAAGCAAACAAGAGTAGGAAACTTTCAGAAGCTCCTAAATTACCAGAATGTCTTTCAACGGTGGGGGAAGAGGAGGAGGAGGAAGAATAAGCAGGATGCATTTTTGCCTGTTTCACCCAGAAATAAGAAACACTTAAAAATAGAAGGGGGAAAATGAAATGGGGGGGGGGCGTGGGGGGAGGGAGAAAGCATTTCTTAATTTATCCGCCTCTTGTGGGTTCTGTAAAAACCCTGTGTTCTGGATTGCTTCAGCCTTTGTCTAGCATTTCTTATCACTTTCAAGTTGCCAGCATCCTGGATCATAAACTCTCAGCAACAACCCCCTTCCTCCCCCCCCTTAAACACCCCCACCACCA